GTAACCTAAACAAAAAAAAAAAATCACTTAAAATAATAAGCTCACCCCAGTGTAGCCATTTGATTAGTATGAGTTAACCATACTCCAGTAAACTCTGAAGAATTGAGACATTCAAAAAGTAAGCTGATTAAATCTACATCAAGCATGGCTGCCATCTTGTGGGGACAGGATATAATGTAATGAGGGGCCAATCTCAACAAGTGCCCCTTTTGGGTTACAAGTCATGATTTGACTTCCATCAACCAATTGCCTTATGATTATTAACAGTCTCATGAAACAGCACACCAACATTCACACAGATGAGACAAGTGAAAGAGACCTACCAATGCATATGAATTTCTTCTCCTAAAATTTCAAAATCATGGCTCATGTGTGGAAAGTGAAACAGCTTTGAAATACAAAGTTTTCACTTGAATTAACTTTAATAATAGATACATTTGTAAAGCACTCATATATACCAATCAGTCCTGTTGCAGAATTTGGTCAGGATTCACATCTCATTGTGTTAGAAGAGAACTTATTTTCTGACAGGGCAGTCTTACAGATTTAGGGAAAACTTTTAAAATAAGCAAGACATTAAAGGCTAAATTTAGAAGTAAAAGAGGAAAGAAGAAAGGAAGGATGTATTATTTAATATTGTACTAGTGTGACAGACAAAATAAAAGTAGAAAGTAGTTGACCTGAGAAAAATAAGGACAAAGTATAGCCAACGTTAGTATGTCATATAGGAATACATGATTTAATGATTTTCTTGAAGCTTATTTAAAAGTAAAAAAAGAAAAAATCATGATTTCTGTTTTTTCCTTCCAACAAATATTTTCTCATCCTCTTTTAGAAAAACAAGACATTGCATAACCTCCATTAAGCTGTGAACTTCTATGAGCTGCTAAATACAAAAAAAGTTTTCCTTTTAGCCCCTCAACCAAATAGAATTTATGTTTTCTACTTCCACAAATGTATATTTCAATTATAATTTCAAAGTCCTTTTCCATAGCTACCTGCATTTACAGATGGTTAGTCACTGTCCTGTTATAGCCTTTCATTCATGTTTATGGTAAAGTTACCATTACTTAGAATCTTTTCTCTATAACCATATCATTAACATTATAATGTTAATGATATGGTTATAGAGAAGTAGCAATAATGATCAAAATACAGTCTATCTCTGTTTTTCTGTGATATTATTTGAACACTAGCTTCTCACCTTAAGTTTGAAGTAGATGCTCATAATAATATTGTTTTATAGTAAAACAAGATCTTCAGTCATTATTGGAGAATTTTTTAAAAATCGACTAATGTAGGTTGATTTACTGCTGTTATAACTGTGAGCAGCTGAGTTTGAAAATTTAGGCATTGGTATTCTTAGCATATTTTTTTCAAGTAAAAATTAGAGAATTGTACATGCCATGGGTTTCCATTACTGTGCTTTCTTTACACAATTATATGCTATTGAAAGAGCCTGCTCTTGCACTCACCCCAACGAGGCAAATTAATATTTCTCTGAAACTCTGTTTTTGTGTGTGTGTGTGGAAAATAATATTATGCTTCACATCTTAAAGCTATTCAGATTATCTACCATTTTCTTCAAATTATGGATGTTTATATCACAATTAATGCCTGAATGAAGTGACAGTCTCCACTTTGAAAAATAATTCATAAATCATGGTTAACTTTCATTTATATTGCCAAAAGTTAAGCACTTGTTAGAAAACTTTAGTGAATTAATGCTATTTTAACAAAGTGTGAATTTCAGCCAGATGCATCAGACCATTTTCATATGATAAATAATCTTTGAATTAAAGCTAAGCAACCTTAATGAGACCAACAGATAGCCTTCATTAAAAAGCCTCGTTAATAAACACAACCAGTGAATGTGTTATTTTCTTTCTCCTTCTGGAACTTGACATCTAACTTATGCATTATAAATCTTTGTTTCCAGCTAATTAATATTGTATCACAATATATGCAGTTTTCTAAAATAGAAGAAAATACTTAATACATTGTTAAAGTGTATTTAAACTTATATTTCATAAAACACCATTAACTAGCAGTCAATGGGTATAGAAATTATTTGGTAATTACAGTGAAAAGAATGTTATTTATAAATTGATAATAATAAGCTGATATTGCATTTTAATTTTGCACTACCTTCTCTTTTTTTTCTGGAAAACTTCAATTCATGGTTCTACTATCTCTTCCGAATGGTATTTTGCCGATTTTAAGTGATCATTATACCCTCATGATTTTTTTTGTGTGTGTGTAATATGTCACCTAAATTCCTTTAAATATTTTAGTATTAGAACAGTGGCTCTGAAAAATGGCTGTACTTTAGAGTCACCTACAGAGATTTTAGAATATGTGCATTGTATTTTGGGTCGTAAACCCCAGAGATTCTGAAAATTAGCCCTCTGTGATTCCTTTGAAAAACTTCCAAAATTATTTTCAAGAAAAGTTATGGTACAAAGACATTAAATTGGAGGACTGGGGAATTATGAGAATGCTGTGCTTATAGTTCATGAAAACAGAGTTTCCAAAAGATGAGTTTGTATGAATATAACTACATTTAGTTATCTCTAGGACTGAGCCAGCTATTGTTTTGATGTTCCACCTGGCTCCAGGATTCTAAGATATTATAGTGTTCTTTCCATGTTAAATTTAATAATTTTTCTTGATAGAATACACAGTGAATCATCACATTTTAAAAATGCACCTGTTACTAGTATGATAAAAGCAAGCTATGGGGAGATATATCCATTCTTTTAATTCATTATCTGTACCAACAAAGTATAATTCATTAAAGTGCATTAGAACACTTTAAACACCAACATAACATCAATAACAACACAAACATAATCAATAATAAGTACTAATGTAAAGAAAAAAATAAGGGAATGATGAAAATTGGGAAAAACAGAAACAGAAATGGCTCCTTAGAAGCACTGGTTTGTTCCAGAATTCGAAGGGAAGTAAAATTCACATCAACAAAGAGGTTTTCTGTGAAATGCTATGCTGAATAACATGTGCATAAGCTATGGTCCTTGCTCTCAAGACACTGATGATCTAATTCCTAAGCAGTCTTGTCTACTTCTAAAGCAATATGAGATCATAGAAGATGGAGAGATTTATACCACACTAACGGATTGAGGGCTTGGGGATATAACTCAGTGGTAGAGTACCTGCCTAGCATGGGCAAGGGCCTGGGTTCAATGTCCAGCATGACAAAACACAAACAGACAAACAAAAAACAAAGAACTGAACACCACTGCAGGGGGCAAAGAATTTAAATTAGCCCTTTAGGTTGTGCAGGTAAGTTGTTGGCAAGATGAATATGTGCCTTTCAATAAGATCTGCTTAAATAAGTAGTAATATGACAGCACAACATGTTCTGAAATATTCAGAAAAAAATATTCAAGATGAATGAAATAGTATTTCACAGAGGAGACAACATACAACTGATTTTAGAGAATGATGACCCAATTCACCAAGTTAGAGAAGAGGGCTCAAATGAGAGAATAGAGATTTGCCAAACTTAAAGAAAGGGGGGCTATGAAAGTCTGTTTGACATTTATACATCCAAAGTAATAACATTCCCATAGGATTACATTTACAATTGAAGCAATATTAGGACCATTAATAACTCAATTAGTCAATTGATTGTGTTAACAAATCTTTGGTCTGAAATAAGGTTAGCTTGATATAAGTTAATCATTAGAAGAAAGGTAGTCACAGTAATCAGGATTTTATGATAAGAAATAAGCTGGCAGAAAAATCCTTTCACTGAAGACTGGGAGGCTGTCATTCAGTACTTCCTCAGCTCTTCCTGTGGAAGACAACCAACCTCCCATTCTGAATTTATCTGCATAGGTTATTAAGCGACTCAATGCAATATTTTGACCAAATGTTTCACTGAAGCATTTTTTCCTGTTTTATTTCATTATTCTTTTTCCTTTTAAAAAAATTTCAAGCTTTTCTATTCTAATAGAGGAGGTCTATCTACAGAAGGATTTCAGGATTCTTTCAGTATCCTGATTGCCTAAAAAGAAAAATACCCTGGTGACAGGGGTGTGGGGGTGTAGGGGAGATCACTGTATAAAAGGCAATTAGCACATTCTCTCCTTTCTATAACTTTATAATTGAAATCTCATTAAAAGCTTTCTAGGTCTCTTTTTCCCTAAGTGACCAGGTGTCCCTAATTTGTTTTCAACCAATGTGTCTAATTCCAGGCAAAGACTAGAAAAAGTCTGATACCTGTTGGAGAATAGCAAGGTTAAATAAGTGGGGTGGCTTTTTTAGGTTGCTTTTAACCTTGTAAAAGGAAAAAAAAAAAAGCCAAAAAACCTTCAACGTCTTTTCTCTTACAGTCCTGCCTTTTTCTCAGTCCCGGTTGAAGATTCCAAGGGAAATGAGAGCACTATTTTGTTTCTCCCTTGTATTGCAGATAGGGGGAGGAGGTGGTTATTAGAGAGAAGCTCTTCCTCTCTTGGTTTCCCCCTCTCTGCCTGACAGCACCACTCTCTCGCGGGCTCGCTCCTTCTCCTAGGTGATCCATTTCTAGGCAACGTGGGGTTGGTGCTGAAGCTGCCAGGCTCGCTCCTAGCTTCCTGCATCCCGCAGGCGAACCGCTTCAAAAGCATCCTGCAGCCCGCGGCGGCTTCCCTCCGCCGGCCTGGCCCCGCTGCTCGCGCCTGGCGCAACTCCCCCGCCACCGCGCCCGAACCGGCTCCCCGGGCCCGCCTCGCCGAGCTCTGCTCCCCGCCTCGCACAGAAAGGGAATTTTCTCTGCATTACTATCTGCATTACCTTGAAGTTCACTTTTTTCTACCCCTCTTGGAGAGGGCTTTTTTCCCCTCCCTGCTGGAATCTGGCTGCTCCGGTTGGAATCTCCTAATCTTCCCTTCCCACTTAGATTTTGGCAGCGAAGACAAGTGATTCTCTGCGGGCCATAGGGGCGGGGTGGGGGGGCTTTTTGGCTGGGGGAGGGGGCGGGAAGGGGGCACATCCGGCGTGAGGGGGGGGGGCGGTGTTGGAAGTTGCGGCGGAGCTGGGACCGGAGACCCGCGGCCCCCGCGCAGCGATGGGGATGGTCTGAGCTCCAGCCTCTCCCCCTGCCCGAGAGCAGCCGAGGCTGGATACATTTTTAAAAAGCCAAACTGCAAACAACTCTGGCGATGCCAAAATTCCCCTCCAAGTGACACGGCTTTGCGAAGGAGGTTTCCTCAGGCTGGGCTCTTTCTCTCATTTCCCTCTGCCTTCCTCAGCGACGATAAAAGGCTTCTCTCTGGCAATAGGAATTTAGAAAAAAAAAGAAAAAAGAAAAACCTGCGCTAAACTCGATCGTGACCTCAAACTCTTTGGACTGTTTTTATTTTTTTTTTTAAAAAAGAAATATATATATATATATATTGGAAGACAATCCATCCTCACAGAAATCGGCATAGGAGGAGATGGAAGTTTTCCCCTTGCTCTTGGTTTTGTCCGTCTGTTGGTCTCGAACCTGGGACTCGGCGAATGCGGATTCGATCATTCACATCGGTAAGAGAGGGTTGGTGCTGTTCGGGGACACTTTTACTGTTTCCGTTCGCAGATGTTTCCCCTTTGCTTCCCACTCTCCGCCCTCTGAGTGGCTTGTTGGAGGTGGCTTCAGTCCATTTCCCTTTCCCGCTACCCTTCCCTCACACTTGTTCAGTTTTCTGGAAGGATGTGGATGCGCGAACCTTGAATTGTGGTACTGTTGTCGTGGTGAATTGAGGAGTGTGGGCTGAATGCGTGGGGGTCTCGGATTGACCTCGGCGTGCGTGTGTGCTGGGGAGTGCAGGGGGTTCTGAGTGTGTGGGGAAAGGAAGTTTAATTGACTCTACCTTCCATATTTTCCCCGGATGTACATTTGCTCCATTAAAAAAAAAAATTATCTTTGGGGAGCCAAGGAGGTGTCACCTGTGAGGCGAAAAGAACTGGGGTAAGGGGTGAGGGGAGCTCCCTTCGGCTCGAACAGGTGGTTTTGCAACGTGAGCCGACTGAGTTCGCCGCAGCGTAGTGCGATGGTGACGGGGTGCCTGACGCGCCCCCAGCCTCTCTCTTTTCTTGGCTTTCCGGTCCTCGCGCTGAGTCGCCCAGGCGGTGGCAGGAGGGGCTGGCGGCAGTGTATCGGAGCACTGGGAGCCCAGTGCCTCTCCGCCTTGCACGCTCGCTCTCAGCCTGGCGCGGCGGCGAAACTGGCCCCTGGGCGCTTGGGAAACGCGGGAAGCAAACGCGCTCAGGCCGCTCTCGTGGGCTACCTCGCAGATACCCGCTTCACCCCGTCTCCCAGTCAACTCCGAGTTGCTGCGCAAGGCGGGGAGCTAAGGCACTTGGGCTAAGGCTGGGTGCCCAGACTCCGGGAAGGACCGCCGTGCCGGCTAGAGATGCTCATGGCCCCACCTATTGACAACCAGACGGGCCAGGACTAGCCGCGGCGGGCAGGCGGGGGCGGGTGGGGGCTGCACGTCATTATCATGCACAGCGCCCGCAGCTTCAGGCTCCAACTCTTCTCACTTGCTAATCCGTGAGAGCTCAGTGGAGACGAGCTCTTGCAGCCTTTTCTGCGTTAATGCGACGATTTCCTTTTCGGAAATTCGCCTCCCGGGGCAAGCAAGGTTCGTTGGCTGGGCTGCAGAGAGGCCCCTCTTGGGGAATTTTTCTGGGCACAGGACTTTTATCTACCCACACGGCTTAGTATTCTTCAAATCCAGGCGACAGATGGGTCACAGCTTCTTCCCTTTCTGTCCCCCTGTTCCTGACTGCACACCACATACACGCGCGCGCTCGCGTGTACACACACACACACGCGCACACACACACACGCCTGGTAGGAGAACCTGCTTCAGGTGGAGGTTGTGCTCTCTCGCAAGCAAGGGGCTTGTGCCTGGTGTGCGTGCCCAGAGCGGCCAGACCCTTAGCTCCAGGGGGCTCCCTCTCTTGGTCTCAGAGGCTATCTTTGTAAACATGTCTGCCATTCTCTATCATTTATAGCAATGAGATTGTATATCCCTCTGTGCAAGGGGTAATGAGGTCAGGATTCAGAAAACCTTGCTCTTGTACATTAAGTAAATTAAGCATTAGATAACTTACCTGCTGGACCCCGTTTTGTCTGTGCCTGTGGGTTCAGAACTTTACAGGGAGAAATTGTTATCTCATTGAGGGGGTCAGTAATGTTCTGATAAGTGTTCAGAAATGAACCAAGCTCCTCTTAAGGAAAGGAAATATATTTATATCTAGTTGTAAATGACTGGAGCAGGAATGAAGGTATATAATCATATACCTTTTATATTCATTTTTGATAAAGGGTTTCTGACCTATGCTTCTCATCTCTCAGAAGGGAAGCTTTTGGATAAATGCTTATTTTATTGCTTATTCCGTGGTCTACGTGATAAAGACATTATTTACAAACACCTACAGCTCTTGCTATCGTTCACTAAATGTATACTATTTTGCAATGTAGTTTGGACATTTTTAAAATATAGCAAATATGTTGTATTTTTTCCTTTGTATATTCTTCATCACTGTGACATGGCTTACTTTATAATCAGAATATTAAAAAGTAACTGGTTACAAATTACAGATTTCTTTAGAAATCTAGTTGTATGCATTAACCTGTGCACCTCCCACTAAAAGAAATAGTTAACTTTTCAATTAATTTGACTTGAATGCAATCTGTACATTAGACAGAGAATTCGTTTCTTTTATGGACTCCCAAATATTGCAATGAAGTTAACAGATTGTTTCAAAAGTTTCAGACCTTTTATAATATATTGAAAGATGGTTAACTTGTGTTTTGGAGGTTAAAAGCCTCATCTTCCTCCACCCCCACTCTCAGCAAAAATGTGAAAAATTAAAAACTGCGGTTGATATTAAAATTATAAGTCACCAGTTAACATGCATTGGATCATTTTACTTAGTTGAATAGGATACAAGAATTTTCTTTGGAGGTGATTGCTTTCATTTAAATACTTAATGAGAAATATGATTATGGGGGAAATGTATTAGTTTAGGGCTGAAGGGATAAAAGTGATGAAACTGTAGGGAAAGGAAATTTCAATTATAGAGATATAAGGAGTTATATAGAAAGGAGAGGCTTTCCCATCCTCCTGTGATGTGTTCATGCAGAAAGTAGCTTCGATAGGTAGTTCAGGCAAACTGGCAAGATAAAAAGACACTGCTGTAATAGGTTCTTAAAATATTGAATCCTTTTGGTGTTGGAACAGATTTTAGGTATGAAAATTCTCACCTTATTTCTCTTTGGTTTTTCTTCATGTAGGTAGTTTAATAAAGTCAATGATATATATTAAACACAGGAGCTCACTGTAATGATGAAATATAATGGTTAAATTGTAATGAGTGAAGTGAAATTGTTTATTTCACTCAAAATGCATAATATTGCAATTATTCTGAGTTTCTGTTAAATCTTATTTGAGTGATATTTAAGAGTTGCACATACTTGCTCAATATATATGTGCACACATGCATATATAAAATAGTGTTTTTTGAAATGAATTGCCTCTATTGTGATCTTTTTGCCCTGATAAAAGAAAGGTCTTTAGACATATAAACTATGCAATTTTGAATTATGCTTCTACTTTGAGTCTATGCATTGATTGAGTAATTTCATCAGACCCACATTACTTGATTGCTTAGAAGTTTCCTAATGATCTGCATGCTGTAGGAAGAACCAAAAAGTCGTGAGTGGAATGGCAATGATATGGTGTTTTATGAGGCTATTCAGAAGTCGCTCTGATTTATGTAGCTAGAAAGCTCCCAAGTCTTTGAGATTAGCCACGCTGACTGCTATTTTCTTCATACATCAGTCGTCCCCCACTTTTTACTCCCTAAATACAACAGGAGTTTTGAGTACTGCTTTAATTAAGCAGGGATTAGGTGGCATTTCCAGTCAACTGCAGTTTGTGTTTTGCTTCATATCTAATATGGAGGATCTCATGTTTTTACAGTTTAATATATATGCTCATTTCTTTATCTGGTTCCTGTGCTCACAGAACTGATTGTAAATTAGCAATCCTCAGTTATATATCTCTACAAGAGAACATTCAAGTACTGTACTTATTCATATATTACACAAATCACTGACATAGTTTGGTTGTTATCAGTCATGGTAAAATACCTTATGTCAACAGGGAGTAGAACAGAAGCATTTATTCATGATTTTCTCATAAGCAGATGATACTTAATCCTCTGAGATAATAATCATCAACTCTGACATTATGAGAAGTCTAAGACAATTCACAGAATATTTGAGAAGCCTGAGACAATTCACATAATATTTTCATCAGGAGAATGCTCAAATTATAGTACAAAATTGGGTGAGTAAAATATGTCAACACGTTCAAAATGATAATCGATGGTAAATTTAAAACATCAGTTTTCCTTAATTTTGAATTGAGTACTATTTTATCAAACACAGAATATAAAGATATTCCCAGAAAGTATTCTGGGTCTCTTACAATGATTTTTTTTTCCATTTCAGTTTGTAAATGATTTCTACTGGTTAATGATAACCCCAGGATTCATCAGGGACTCTTTGCACTGTATAACTCAATGACTTTTTAATTCTTTTGCTACTTAGTGTAGTTGTTTGATTGCGATCTTCTGGATAAATATTGGAAACTACCAGAAAGTATTAAGACACATACTTTTCTATTATTTATTTTTATATCATTAATAGATTTACTGGAAGCACAATTCAGGTGTGCATCACTAAGTTAGACAATGTTATTATTGATCAAAAATATCAACTATGGTATGACATAACCATTTCACTAAGGGCTTTTGCTTTCAACTCCAGATGAAATTCACTAAATATCCATTAAATATCTCCTATAAATTTTAATTCAAATATAAATAAAAATCAAAGTGATTAGCTTTTGATTTACCCACAAACAGAAACAAGTTGAAATTTTTAGGGGCAATAGAAGATGCAGTTCATTTAATTCAGTTCTCCAAGGCTCATTTTGTCATACTACAAGTTCATCTTAATGGGATATGGTAATTTAAATATCATACTTGATATAGTCTAGAAGATTTTTCTTTTTCCATCCACCCCCATATATGACTTTTAAGAAGTAAGACACTCATTTCTATTGGATCATAATCACATTTCAGATAATAGCATGTAGGTGAGTAGCAACAAATGCAATGTTTATTAGAAAATACATTTATGGCCTATAAAGATAGGTTTGCCATTAGGTGTCACTGCATTCTGAGCTCTACCTTTGTTTTCATACTTGAAAACTACATGAAATAGTTTTTAAATTTTCAGAAAAACATACCATTTAATGAGGTTTGTAATGTAGTCAGATACAGGTGGTTTTTATTTTCAAATGAGAAAGGATAATATTCTCCCTCTTATTCTTATAAGAATGTTATTATAAAACACATTAACACCTATTACTTTCCAGATAAATTAGATTGCCAAATCATGATGTAATTTTTCCACAAATTTAAAATAGAACAGAAACATATAATTAAACTAATACTTATTTTCT